ATGGAAGAAGGCAGTTCAGTGGTTGATCAGTGTGCTCAAGCAAATAAAATTAAATAAAAATTAAAAATGGCAGAATGGTAGCTAAACCACTCAAGAACAGGTTAATGAAATATTGGTAGTATACTTAAAACACTTAGTGTAAGAATTGAATGAAACTCAGTTAAAGTTGTCAAAAAATTAGGAATTACTTGGAGCTTATCAATTAGAAGGAAACAAGGTAATCGGATACATTCATTAGATTAAAAGAAATCAGATAAAGTTCACTGGAATCAGTCTGTAACTACTAAAGTCACAATGACTTCGGCACAGGACAGTTCTTTACTGGTCACAGAAGTCTGATTCCAAACCCACTCTTCAACAGCTGAGATTTTGTGTGCGTGTATATGTATGTGTGTAAGTGTATGTATATGTTGTCCTGAGGTTCATCAGCTAAAATAATAGTAATAAGCAATCCCTACAAAATATTTCAAACCAGGCAAATGACTTCTGGAAGAGAGAGAAAGGAGAGCGAGAGGGAGGGAGAACATGAGCTAGCAAGCCGGGTCATATGGCTAAACATGGAATTGTTTAAAGGGTATTACAAGTGGGAGTCGAATAGAACTGTGGTAGAATGCTTTGGGTACAGGAATATATTATGCAAAAAAATGGGGAAGAGAAAAAGGGAATAAGAAAGGAGGAATGTAACTAGAGCAGCTCCCAACAGTCTGCCTATGTATTTGCCAGCACCAAAATTTGTAGAATAAGCCACTCACATGTCCACTGCTGGTATTAAGGAAAGACAGCAGTGGTGATTTTCATAAAGTGAGTATACATTGACTTTTATTTTGAAATGTGAATTTTTCTTTCACAAATTAACTTACTGGTGATTTGTAAACAGTGGGAAGGAGATTAGAACAATTATAGAGGTACTGAATTACTCAAGGAAATTAAAATGAAATCAGTCGATCTACCTATGTTGTGGTTAGTTTATATCTACCACGATGCATACACTTGAGAAAGGGGAAATGCCCAAATTATGTAACGCATTATCTTGTTATTTTAGTTAATAATTCTTGTCCGAAGCATAAGCTCCAAGGATAGCTATATCTCCACTGATAGCTTAGTTCTTATACAAAGCAAGCTACTTTTGAAGAAGTTTTACCTATTAAAAAAATAAGTTAAGGTGCTATGTTGACCTGGCCAGCCATCTTGTTGACTATCTCAGATACAAATATAAATACAAGGAATGATGATTTTGTTCTGAGGGTTGGTCTGGCCAGAGAAAAACGGTGGTCTGCTGGTAAAGTACTAGGCAATGGAAAGAAAGCTTGTATTATACCGCCCACAATGTAGCCATTTTATGGACAAACAGGAGACTTTAGCACCGGTCAATTTTATTAGCTACTTAAATGACTAACAATGAAAATAAATATAGAACATTGCACCTATATATTTAAATCAATCATTTAATGTAAACTTTTTAGTAAGTGGTAGAAAAATTCCAAACTAACAGAATTATCAAGAATTAGACTATGTATATACATAAAATATACTGTATCTCTCTATAGGCAGTACTGAGAATAAATTATCTTTGCCAATAAAAGATTATAGATAACCACATTAAGCTGAATTTACATAAAGAACAATGTATCAGTCTGAGTTGAAGAAAAACTCTCTAGATTTCAATATAGCCTTAGACCAGTGGTTCTTAAACTTTAAAGTGTGCATCAGAATCACCTGGAGCGCTTGTGAAAACACAGACTGCTGGGCTCTATTCCAAAGTTTCCAACTCAGTATGTCTGGGATGGGGCCCAAGAATTTACATTCCTAACTAGTTCCTGGTTGATACTGATACTAGCTGGTGGGCTGAGAACCATACTCTGAGAACCACAGGTTTGCACATACTATGTACATAGAAAATGATATACTGAAATGTTCTTACATACATGACACAAAATATATAGAAAGACAGCTGGTTTTAATGAATTCCCAAACATGTAGGTTAGCAAGCTGAATGTTTCTAAAATGATTTGCTAAAGTGTAATCATTTCACCTTATAGTAAATTACATTTCAAAGCCTTAGGTCCTATATAGTCATTTTAGAAAAATCCATATAACATTTATACCAAGTTGGCTATTCAAAAGAAAAGGGACATAATATTCTCAATAGTTAAAATGTATTCATTAGGAAGGAATCATCACTATATAGCATTCTTTGCTTCTTTGGAATGATTAAAGTGCATAATATCAATAGGGTATTAAGAACATTGCATAAGAGTTTGCAGTCTTCAGTGCCACTAACAGTCACAGAAATACTAGCATGGGGAAAGTAGCCCTATCCCAAAGGTCTACTATCCTGACCTGTTGCTGATGGCACTTTCTTCAAGCACCACCACTGTGGTAAGGAGCTGGAATAGAGGCAAAATTAACAAAAACCAGGGCACTCTATCCAACTGTATCTGATCAAAAGGAATTGCCTTAAGTCTGGAGGGACTCCTTTCTCATTTCCTTTCACCCTTTTATTCTAGGTGAATTAACTGACAATAGACAAGAAGTGTATTAAAATAAACGACTTTGCCTCGTCTAGTCAAAAAAAAAAAAAAAAGTGACATAGTTAGGCTTTACCTAAACTATGTTTTAGTGATTTATTTCCATCTAATTAACATCAGAGAAAATGCTTTAAACACTTTCTCTCTGAAATTTACACACATCTGTGTGCATGGAATTTCACAGATGCTAAAATTCTAATCAGCATTCAGTTAAGACCTACCTTTAGCTGGCTGAGATGAAGACAAATTTAATTTATATAAAGCCTGAACAGTCTAATTCTGTAATCTTTTACCCTCTCTGAAAGAAACAATTCTAGCAATATACCTTTTCTGTTTTTCTTAAGCCAAAGGGAAGAAATGGAGGAAAGAAGGTTTAAATGGAAAAAGTGAAAGCTGGGATCTGTTCAAACTATCTGTTTATGTGTTTTTGGAAATAATGAAAAATGAAATTATAAATGATAAAAAAGGCACTTTTCCATAGCATTTGATCTAGATATAAAATATTAATTTTAAAAATTTTTTGAAAGAGCAAAACCAGAATTTTATTAATAAATGAGGCTAGAATGGCATAAAAATAAATGGGGGTTAAAGAAGTAATTAGGCCAGGCGTGGTGGCTCCTGCCTGTAATCCTAGCACTTTGGAAGGCTGGGGTGGGTGGATCACTGGAGGTCAGGAGCTCAAAACCAGCCTGGCCAACATGGTGAAATCCTGTCTCTACTAAAAATACAAAAAAAAGATTAGCTAGGTGTAGTGGTGAGTACCTGTAATCCTAGCCACTCGGGAGGCTGAGGCAGGAGAATCGCTTGAACCCAGGTGGAGGTTGCAATGAGCTGAGATCACACCACTGCACTCCAGCCTGAGCAACAGAGCAAGACTCTGTCTCACCAAAAAAAAAAAAAAAAAAAGAGTAACTAGAGCACTGAGACCATCCACAAATGATATTGTAGATATTATTCTGATAGTTACTATATTATGAACATTATCTCTACAATTTTCCTCTAGTGACACAAACAGGCAGAAGAGAAAACCTCTTTTTAATATATGTTATGAGATTCTACTAACCCACTTGCTAGGGTATATACTCCGAGTTATTTTTCTTTTTTTTTTTTTGAGACGGAGTTTCGCTCATGTTACCCAGGCTGGAGTGCAATGGCGCGATCTTGGCTCACCGCAACCTCCGCCTCCTGGGTTCAGGCAATTCTCCTGCCTCAGCCTCCTGAGTAGCTGGGATTACAGGCACGCGCCACCATGCCCAGCTAATTTTTTTTGTAGTTTTAGTAGAGACGGGGTTTCACCATGTTGACCAGGATGGTCTCGATCTCTTGACCTCGTGATCCACCCGCCTTGGCCTCCCAAAGTGCTGGGATTACAGGCGTGAGCCACCGCGCCCGGCCTCCGAGTTATTTTTCTAACCTATGGTCTTTCTTCATGGAGTCCCTCTATATAGCCTAAGGCATGCGGATATAAGACAGCTGTCTTGGTTAGGGATAAAGCCTATGGTCATAAAGCAGGGGGATGCTAATTAATTTAAAAAATCAATTAGGAAACAGATACTGGGACAGAAATCTTCATCAGAAAAATTAAAAATTATAAAATTACTATTTCTGGTGAAAATGTATAACCATGGTGAATTTGAGACTTTAATTATTAAATCATTTTATCTGGTCATTATTTGTTGATGCATCTAACAGATTCACTTTCCTAAAGCAAGCATTTATAAAGGCTTAAATGGTCAAAAAGAATTATCTTAGCTCTGGAGGGACTCAGATACAAATTCATTTCCTTTGACACTATTTTTCCTATGTAGATTAGCTGAGGTTCTGATGGGCAAGAAATGCACTAGAATAAAATTCCGAACTACAGCACATGTGATAAAAAAAAAAAAAAAAAAAAAAAAAAAAAAAAAAAAAAAAAAAAAAAAAAAAAAAAAAAAAAAAAAAAAAAAAAAAGGAAGGATGGATGGAAGGAAGGAAGGGAGAAAGGAGGGAGGGAGGAATAAGGGAAGAAGAAACGAAGAAGGCAAGGAGGAAGGGGAAAAGGGAGGGAGGGAGGAAAGGAAGGAAGGAAAGAAAGGAGAAAGGAAAATCCTTCATTAATACTTCTATAATAAAGCCCTTAAAAACTTGTTCTTTTTCAAAAATGAGTTGTTTTAAAACAGATTTGCAATGGCTAAATAACATGATACTCTAATCATAAAGGTAACATGATCAAGCTCAGAGGAAAAATATGACTTAGAATTATTTTCACCCATGTTGGTCTGGATATATAATGGAATGAATGACAATAAGGAATCTCACACACACACACACACACACACACACACACACACACACACAGAGAGAGAGAGAAAGGGGGGGAGAGAGTGTGTGTGTGTGTGAGAGAGAGAGAGAGAGAGAGAGAGAGAGAGATAAGCTCCAAGCATTAATGTGAGTTGCTGAAATCAACAATTGAATGTAACAATACAAAGAAAGAAAAGGTGGCTCACAGTTTATTTAGGTCCTTCTGCCATAAATACATTTAATACATTGTTGTTTCTATGGCCTTTGCTGGCTGAGTCTCTCCTATATGTAGCTGTAACTTGTAACATTAATCAGGAAATTGCATTATTAGCACAAGTATCAACCACTGAGCTTCAAAGAAGATGAATACTCTTCGTAACCAAATTGTATTTTCAGAATGTTGTACTTAACATTGACCTTTAGGGGTTAGGAACATTTAACAATGTAAAAACACACAAAAAAACTATTATTATTGAACAAGAATATGATAGCATAGCACAGCCCTTGTATAAATAATCACAAAATTTATGAGAATAAAAATTGGATTTTCTGCCTCCATCCAATCAAACCACTACAGTTCAGGTATATATTCTGTTCCAAACTTAGATTATAAAACAGAAAATTGGTCCCAGTGACTTGGCATTGCCAATCAGCATTTTATAACAATAAACCTTTTGCTAAACCACAGAAAAGAAGTCAGCACACAAGCCAGTCTTGCCACTACTTCATCTACAGTGCAGTATTAACAATCATCCTAATTAGAACTTGGTGAACAGATTCCTTTAGTCTCCTACATAATCTCCTAGAAAAAAGTTCAGAAAATTCAAAAATAAACTTACAGATTTTTATTTCTACTACTTCTTTTTATACCTGCTGGGTTTGCTTTGTCTGACATTTCAATCAACCCTACTTTAGGGTTAGAGTTTTACATTTTCAAACTGAAGCACTGGATTGTGTGGCTGATCCTCCTCATAACCTGAACTATACTGGGTAATTTTTCCCAAAAGGGCTGGGGGAGAAGAGATACACTGAGGAAAATACTTTTGGTTCAGAGAATTTATAAAGTAGCTCAGGATATTACAAGATGGGGAAAAATGTTATTAAAATTACAAACATGGGTTTTCTTAGTGTCTTTATAAATAAAAGGCATAGAATACAGAAAGCCAATTAATAATAATAATAAAATATTAAATATATAGTGAGCAAAGACTGAATGGCTCATTCTTGTGAAACACCATTTGACGCCATTGCCTCAATGGGTTTCCTTACTCTAACACTTGGCTGAGTGAAAGCTCCAGCAAACACACAGTAAGCTGCCTTTAGCCCACTACTAACATCAAGGAACTGCCTGATGGAATGGCCACAGATGAACAGGTCATTTGTTTCAAAAGATACTTAAATACTCAATAAAGACATAACAAACCCCCCCCCTCACTGTTATCAGACGCCACGTTGTGGTAGAACATCAGACAAACTCACAAATTTACCACAAAAATGTGTGGCAAAAAAGAATAGTTTATATATATGTATATATATAAATTTCTATATTTATGCCAATGTACTCACTCAGTACAAATAGCAAAATAGTATACCATTTCCTAAATACAAAATATAGCTTTCCAAAAAAATGAAACACACATTAGATATAAACCATCCAAAACTTGAACGATTGAAAACTGTATTCAAAATTAAATGACCCAGAGTAGGTCTCTTTCTGAAAAGTTCCCTTCATATCGGCAAGAAGCCTGTACTACTGAAAACGTAATTCAATGCCTCTCAATCAGAGAGAGAAAGAAAGAAAGGGGTGGAGGTGGAGGGAAGAAAACATGAGAATAAAGAGAAAAAGACAACTTAAAAGGGCACATTCAAAGAACAAAGGAAGATCATCACAAAAAAAGAAAAAAGGAAAAATCTGGCTGTATAAACAAAACCAACACCACAATTCTACACAGTTGAACTAAATGTACAGGATAGAAAACAAAAACAGAAAACAAAAACAGAAAAGTAGCCTTCAACAATTAACAGGCTATTTTTTGTACACTTAAAAAATAAATGAAACGAACAAGGATACCAAAACGTTATATAAACACATAGAAGCCACACACACGTTGGCCTTACACTGCATTGACAGCTTTCCACATGCCAAAAGAAAAATGAGACATAAGCATGTGTCCAGACACAGGTGGTAGTGAGAAGCAGGCATCCCCACGGGTGGCAAGAACACCCAAAACTGTATAACTAATGCTACAACTGCCAAGTTCTGGAGTGTTATTTTGCTCTTTATAGATGTAACACAAGTTAATTCTTCATTTTAAGTTAATGATATGACCCTGTAAAGCCTAAGGCTTGTGGGAACCATCAGGTAAGTGACCACTTCAAACTGTAAAGCACTGAGGTGACAAGTGAATTTACACTCACTGCAGATCAGGGAGAAGTGATGTTTCAAGAAATTTTAGTTTGCCTTTTTTTTTTTTTTTCCTAATTGAAATTTATACTGTTTCCTATTAGAGGGAATAATTTGAAGACTTCAGAACAGCACCGTTCATGGGGAAAAAATGTGTTGTTTCTCAGGAATCAACTCCCAATAATTCCTCTCTGCCCTGTGCTGCAGGATTGCTAGGTCACCCTAGATTAAAGTGGCCAAAGATGCTACAGGGTCATGAAGCCAGTAGTATATTAATAGTTCTCTAAAGTGAAAAAGAAGTGAAAAGTAATACAGATGTATATAAAAAGGGAAAACCAGCCTAATACTGGGTTAAGAAGAAAACACTCAAATTTTTCTGTCAGTTTAAACTACTGTAGGAGGATATCAGAACATAATTTATCATATATTATCCCCTTCATTTTTAAAATAAAGATAATTATTTTTCTATGCACAGTTATGGCTAAACCCCTTAGTAGAAACTCAGAGAACAACTCTCTGAAAAATAAAATCGATAGCATTCCAGCTGTTCCCAGTTTTATAAGTGTATCATATGCCTTTGTGTTAAATCAAGAGTCCTTTTATCTGCATATACAGTTTACTTGTTAGAATGTTACCCCTTCAGTTTCTCCATAAAAACTGAAAAAAAGATTCCTTCACTGTGGCCAACAGCTGTGCCTTTTATATTGAAAAAATATGCCTTAGTTATTACTGAACTTTACTTTTTCAAAAGCCATTACTTGACTAAAACAACACAGGAAAGAAAATAATGAAGAACAAAAGTAAACATGACATATCATTTTCTAATAGCAATAACAACTGAGTGGTCCAGCCTTGAATTTAAACTGTACTTTTAAGGAAATTACGCCTAAGAAAATAGTAACAATTAATTCTGCCAGCTGGAAACTCAAATAGATTCTCAGTCATCACTGTTATTAGGAATATAAAATATGAAGATGTTAATGTTGGTGGTTCATCACTGCAACAAGCAGCATAGGTGTGCTCTTTTGCAGTCAGAGTAAAATCTATCAATTTACTCAAATACAATTTTTCATATCTTGTTTTGTTTTTAAAGTTAACAGTTCAATCATTCTCATGAAACCACAAGATCTCAGGACATCTTGGAATCAGGATTTTCTTCATGGAATTTCTAAAAAAGAGAAAAAGTTTAATGTAACATACTAGGGAGAGAAGCATTTATAAAGTTTCTGACACCTTGAATGATCCTTAAGTATATTATGGTACTATAAGTAAAACTTTATTATATTTGATCTTCCACAAACTTTTCTTTTTTTTTTTCAAGACAGAGTCTGAGGCTGTCGCCCAGGCTGGAGTACAATGGTGCAATATTGGCTCACTGCAACCTCCACCTCCTGGGTTCAAGCAATTCTCCTGCCTCAGCCTCCTGAGTAGCTGGGACTACAGGCGCTACTGTTACCATGCCCTGCTAACTTTTTGTATTTTTAGTACAAAGATGGAGTTTCACCATATTGGCCAGGCTGGTCTCAAACTCCTGACCTTGGAATCTGCCTGCCGTGGCCTCCCAAAGTGCTGGGATTATAGGCGTGAGCCACCATGCCCAGCCCCACAGACCTTTCTGACTCAATATTTACTTCTGGAGGAAGGGATAAATGAGGCATGATTATATCCAATACATAGTACAAAGGAAATACATTTTCCACACTCATCAGATGTTTTGTCATTCAAAGGCAAAGAAGCTCAGAGGCAGAAGGAATGTCCAATATAGGTTGAATATCCCTTACCTAAAATGCTTGGGATCACAAGTGTTTCTGACTTTTTTGGATTTTGGAATATGTACATATACACAATGAGGTATCTTGGGGATAAGACACAAGTCCAAATATGAAATTCACTTCTGTTTCATATACACCTAAAAAGATCTATCACAGCTGAAGGGGGCTGGGAGAATTTTTTTTACCTTGGGGACACTGAATAAACTGCATGTTGTGAGCCTGCATTTTGACTATAACCCTGTCATATGAGGTCAGTTGTGGAATTTTCCACTTGAGATGTCATGTCAGTACTCAAAAAGATTTGCATTTCAGAGCATTTTGGATTTTGGATTTTTGGACTAGGGATGCTTGCTCTGTATTAACAATATGATCATAAGCTATCATTCAGAACTTTTTTTTTTTTTTTGAGACAGAGTCTCACTCTGTCGCCCAGGAGGTGTAGTGGTGTGATCTCGGCTCACTGCAATTTCCACCTCACAGTTAAGCAATTCTCCTGCCTCAGCCTCCCAAGTAGCTGGGACTACAGGCACATGCCACCATGCCCAGCTAATTTCTGTGTGTGTGTGTGTATATATACACACACACACACACACACACACACACACACACACACACATATATATATTTTTAATTGCATTTTAGGTTCTGGGGTACATGTGAAGAACATGCAGGATTGTTGCATAGGTACATACATGGCAATGTGGTTTGCTGCCTCCATCCCCATCACCTATATCTGGAATTTCTCACCATGTTATCCCTCCCCAACTCCGTAGCCCCCACTGTCCCTCCTCTAGTCTCCCCCAACCAGTTTTGTATTTTTAATAGAGATGGGGTTTCACCATGTTGGCCAGGATGGTCTTGATCTCTTGACCTCGTCATCTGCCCCCTTGGCCTCCCAAAATGCTGGGATTACAGGTGTGCGCCACTGAGCCTAGCCAGAACTAAACTATTATTACTTAAATCTATTAAGAAGAATAAAATTTGATGCTTTTCAATAAGAAGCCAAGATGCAATACTTACATATCCAGTTAAAAGGAGCCAGTCAAGTTGTTCCCTTGGTTTTGCAACGAAACAAGCAAATCAATCTTTTCAATATTCTGGTTGGTGTTTATAGATGATGCCAGTGGAGAATTCTCTGGCATTTGCTGAGAAAGAAGTGTTGTAACAGGTGGCTGGCCCTCATTTTGTGGTTGGCCTGGCTGACTTATGGCCATCAACTGATCAGGCAATGTAGCTGGTCCAGAAGTTAAAAGCTGACTACAGTCTGCAGAGATATTGAAAATAGAAGCTATCTGATTAGTAAAGATTCATGAAAAGGTATTTATTAGTTGTTGGGGAAAATTCATTACTGCATTCTCCTTGTACATTACTAAAAGTTAGGCACCTGATAGTCCAAGAAAAAGGTTTTCACAGATTGGTACTGGAATTCATCCTAGGTTTCCTTTAAGCAGTCTAAAAATACAATTTTGCTTAAATATCAAGTCATATATGAATTCCTTTGTATATAAATATTAAAGATGGGTTTCTAGCTCTATTATCACCATTTTAGATGTGACAATTGAATCCCATAAAAGCCAAATAACTTGTACAAGATCTTACAGTCTATAGGTGATAGAGTTCTAACTACAATCTGTACTCTTAAAACAACTGTACAGGCTGGGTGCAGTGGCTCACACCTGTAATCCTAGCACTTCGGGAGACTGAGGCCAGCGGATCACTTGAGGTCAGGAGTTGGAGACCAGCCTGGCCAACATAGTGAAATCCCGTCTCTAACAAAAATACAAAAATTAGCTGGGCATGGTGGTGCACACCTGTAATCCAGCTGCTCAGGGGGCTGAGGCAGGAGAATCACTTGAACCTGGGAGGCAGAGGTTGCAGTGAGCTGAGATCGCAACATTGTACTCTATTTCCTTCTAATAATAACAATGACCAATTTAGTAATGAGAAATTAAGAGTTTCTTACTATTTTGAATGCCAAATAAGAACATTCCTGATGTCTGCTGAGATGAGCCAGGAGAATTCTGTAGTTGGTTCATTGTGCCTCCTGCTGTGTTGTGAAATAAAGCAGCCTGTGGTTGAGGCGAAGATGTGGCTCCTTGAATTCCAGGCATGTTGTTCTGAGGGGAATAAAGAGGAGACTGTTGCATATCTTGTTGATTTATACTGGTCTGCAAGGCAGACATGGATGCTGGAGATAAGAAGAGTGTTACTTGCTGCTCTTGAGAACTAGGTGACCCTTGTACCAACTGAATCTGAGGAGAGCTATGGAACAAGGGGGTCTGTGATGATTCAGACTGGGTAGGACCTGGGTTCTGGAGTGAGGAAACTGTGGACTGACTCTGAAATTGCATGGGCTGCTGTTCTTGATTCATGGGGGCCATATTACTTTGTTGGTGAAAAATTGACTGGTTCTGTTGCTCCTGATTAGCCATTGGATTTTGATTTGGGTTGAATATCATGTTTGGTGGTGGTTGCTTTTGAGATGCCATTGTAGCCATGGTATTCTGATTACTGAATAAAATGCTCTGTTGTTGTTGCTGCTGCTGCTGTTGTTGTTGTTGCTGCTGCTGCTGCTCCTGAGATGGAGAGTTACTCTGCATGGCAACTATTGAGTGCTGTGACTGGAACATGGTTCCCTGTTGGCTTTGAGGCATTGGATTAGGTGGAAGGGAGCCCAGGGACACTTGAGGCTGAAATAAACCCTGCTGGGAGGACTGTGCCTGTTCTTGGGAAAGCATAGGAGTCTGGATGTGTGATATTGGAGCTTGCTGTTGGAAAGCAGCTTGCTGTTCGGTGTTTGATGTTGACTGAAGTGAAGAAATTGAGTTTGGTGCTGCAAAAAATGAAATCTGTTCTTCTTGGGCTACTGTGTTAGTCTGAAGATTACTCATAGGACTCTGGGAAAGAAATATGTTGGCTGACTGCTGGTCTTGAGAAACTGAAGAGCCCTGTAACACAGCAATGGTATTTTGAGAATGAAACATTGGAGGCTGCATTTGTTCAGAGGAGGTTGTAGAAGTCTGACTGTGGACAATAGGATTTGGACTATGAAAAATAGAACCTTGAGTTTCCTGGGAAAGGTTCTGAGCATCAGCAATAGGATTTTGAGGATGAAAAAGCTGGGCCTGTGAATGAGAAGACTGCTGCAAAAAATTTCCAGATTGAAGTGACATCATCTCATTCCCTTGCTGGAATAAACCATTACCTTGTTGCTGCGTACCACTATTCTGAACACTCATCATACTTTTTGTGGACGAAAAAAGGTTAACTTGAGGTTGACTGTCCCCACTATGTTGCATTTGGACCATCGTCTGAAAGACACTGTTCTGAATCTGTTTTGCTTGTGTTCCAGTTTCTTCTCCATCTCCTGAACTTGGTGTCTGAAACATGGTAGTGCCAGGGGTTGCAACCTGCTGTGTGGTGGTTGTAGAAGTTTCATTTCCAGAAACTGCAGGAGGAGAAGAAAACAATTCACATTGCATTTGCATATCCTCACTGGTAGACAATGCACTCATCATGTGAGAAGTCTGCTGGTAAACTGGTGATTGCTGAAGGTTTCCATTTGCTGCAGCAGTTGAAGGGAATAACTCTGACTGAATCTGGGCAGCTGCCTGGCAGATACTCTGTTGCATCTCCATCACCATTGCGGCTGAAGATTCCATCACTTGCTGTTGCTGCTGCTGCTGCTGTTGATTAGATAACGTGTTTTCAGACTGTGGATGAACACTTTCAGCTCTTCCAGGTAATAAATTATCTGGTCTGGTATGGACTGTTGGCTCTGTTGAGGAAAACATTCCAGGGCTTACACCACTTTGAATTTGACTGACTTGTTGAAAAATGTCTGCACTAAGCTGCTCTTGAACATTCTCATTACCATCTGGAGCAGAAAATAAAACTGAAGATAACTGTTGCTGTGCCTCTAAAACTTGCTGGACCAAGTCAACACTTCCACTGCTGCCACTAGCAGTACTGCCTGTAAAACTCCCTGCTTGCAACTGCTGAATAGTATTCTGAAGCTGACTCACACTATTTGGTGATGGAAAAATATTTGATGAAATCTGCTGCTGTAGAGTCTGTGCTTGTTCTTGTAGTGGTGACTGCTGCTGTTGTTGTGACGCCTCAGTCAGTTGTGACAAATTAACCACTGTGCCATCTGACTGTAATACCTCTCTAGACTGAGTTTCTCTTGTCTGAAACTGTGTAGCCTGCTGCAATAGAGCATCGCTGTTGGGCAGCTGACTAGAAGCAGAAACTGCTGGAAAAGTACCAGGCTGTGAGATGTCCTGGGTTTGAATAGTTGTCAGGGTCTCTGGGTTGTAAGCCTTGGGCTGAATCTGCTGCTGTTTTTCATTTTCTGAAGGCAGGTGGGAAGATGACGGTGATGAAAAAGAGCCATTTCCTGCTATGTTTGAGATGTTTTCTAATGTTTGCTGAGTTGATCCAACTGTGTTTGTAGTCTAAAAAATAAAAATCCCCAAATAATATGAAAATGTAAACATTAAATAAGTTTGTAACATACATAAAAAATCACTACTGTTCTAAAAATATATGCAGGATCAGTTTTCCACTCTATATTATTATTATTTAGAAAACAGGTGCGGGACTACGATTCTCCGTAACATGATGTCTCATTGTCCTTGGGATGTATTTTTAAAAAGTACTATAAGCCAAGATAGTCAAACAAGGAAGTAGAATAATCGGCTACTGGTATGCTTAGGTGAATTAAGGGTAATCAGAACACATTAATTTTATGGTTCATGAAGAGCAGGTATCAAAATATCTCAAATGTGCAGCTCACCAGTAACATCACAGGGGAGAAGACAAGTATAAAAAAAGAAATACGGAGTTATGAGAAAAGACTGGGAAACAAATAAAAACATTTCTAATTCTGAAAATGCTAAAATTAGTATTTTCATTAATATCTCACATAACATATTAATTCCTCCCTTGTCAAAATGCATATTGGAAGTCACTTTGTGGGCAATTTTGCTGAAGTATAAAGCATTCCCTCTTTAGAGCAAAATTCAATAAGTGCATCCAAAGCAAAAACAATTTGAAAAAAATAGGAAAAGTAAAAGATAGCAATTTTTATATGGGAGGTTAGAAGTTGGGGCACTAGTCAATACAGCTTACCTTGAAAATAGTGGAAGATCTTTTTTCTGCTGTTACTTCCATTGGAGTAACATCTTCACTCTTAATCATACTGCTTGGTATGAGTGGAGTGATCAGGGCATTAGGAATAATATTTACCTTATCTAAATTACATCCAGTAGTCTTCATTGCTGCATACAAACACACAAAAAAGAAAAGTTTAAAAACCATAAAAATTGCCAACTATTGCACTCTAAAATTTGTTGATTATTAGTCATAATTTAAATGTTTTTTTTTTTTTTTTTTT